CTAGCCAGTAGTGAAAATACAAGAAAGTCAGTAAGTAGCGTAGTTTGAAGGAATACTTCCCCATGGATAGTCAATAGTAACAATACAAGAAAGTCAGTCAGAAGTATAGTTTGAAAGAATACTTCCCTATGATAGCCAGTAGTGAAAATACAAGAAAATCAGTCATTAGTGAAGTTTGAAGGAATATTTCTCTATGATAGCCAGTAGTAACAATACAAGAAAGTCAGTCAGAAGTGAACTTTGAAGGAATACTTCCCTATGGATAGCCAGTAGTAACAATACCAGAAAGTCATTCAGCAGTGTAGTTGAAGGAATACTTCCATATGATAGCCAGTAGTAACAATATAAGAAAGTCAGTCAGAAGTGTAGTTTGAAGGAATACTATGGTTAGCCAGTAGTAACAATACAAGAAAGTCAGTCAGTAGAATACTTCCCTATGAATAGCCAGTAGTTATAATACAAAAAAAGTCAGTCAGTAGTGTAGTTTAGAGGAATACTTCTCTATGGGTAGGCAGTAGTAACAATACAAGAAAATCAGTAGTAATGTTCGAAAATTACTTCGTTGTGTCTTCCAACTGCTCTGTCACTTCCTTTTTTTGCTTTAGTGATTTGCAATTCTTCTCTCCTCATTTTTCGCTCTAATCAGTATTCTCACCAATCACCTTATCAAATATTTATTTATTTTCATATCTTTTCATACTCGTGCTCTAGTGTTTACCGCCAGCAAGTCAAGAATCACGGCATGTAAAAAACAAACCAAAAGGAAGAGTAGTAATAAAAAATCGAATAATTTCGGCATACGAATAAAAGAAAAACCAAAGTTATACTAAAATCAAAAGAATTACTTGTTATAGGCCTTGTTGTTCTTTTTAAAATATATTCTAAAAATTGCTGTCATTAGAAGGGAAAAAAAATCAATGGATGAAGAGTGATAAAAACTTGAAACTTTTGCAGAATTTCTGTTCTAACACGATCATACGTCATCTATATGTATAATTGTCCTCCCTCTCGATGTAAACGAGGTTATATAGGTTCAACAGTTAAAACGTTTGAAGTACAAATTACGTAACACGCAGTTGTAACAAAGGAAACTTATTATTATGTACAATAATACGCTCTGGCATATGTAAAGTCCAAAGACAACCACAACTTTAAGATAGTGTGATGTAGTCCGAGTGAGGAAAATTCGGATCAAAGTATCTTAATATAACAAACAGTTTCAACCAAGTCCGGATTGAATCTGTATGTTAGACCGTTAAGGCTGAAAACCTGAGTTGTTATCGTTAAATTATGACCTTTCCTGTTTGTTGATGGGAGTTTTTAGCCGTTTTTTTTTGTCGCGAAGCTACAAAGTAGGATATTTGCTCTATGTCCACCTAGTGGAATAGAACTCTGGATTTTAGCGCTGTAAGTCCGTAAATTATCCCTCACTCAATGTGGAACGGATTTTTTTAAATTTATACAAATTCATTATGTAAATGCCAATAAAATATAGAAACGTATAAATTGTCCTTAAAATATCGACATCGGTTAATATAAATTGTGATTCTAATGATCAACATGGTCTTTTTTTTTCCTTTAGCGATTCCAATTCTTTGCTGCAAGTACCAATTTACAAGGATTAAATGAATTCATCGTATTATACAAACCAAGCCAATCAATCTTTCATTAAGTAATTGTAGAATATAACGTGTAGTATTATGATGGTGTTGATTATTAAATTATTCCCCTTATTTTGATCTCTTAATATAACGTGTAGTATTATGATGGTGTTGATTATTAAATTATTCCCCTTATTTTGATCTCTTAATATAACGTGTGGTATTGTATTGTATTATTAATTTATTCCTCTTATTTTGATCTCTTAATATTACGTGTAGTATTATGATGGTGTTGATTATTAAATTATTCCCCTTATTTTGATCTCTTAATATAACGTGTAGTATTATGATGGTGTTGATTATTAAATTATTCCCCTTATTTTGATCTCTTAATATAACGTGTAGTATTATGATGGTGTTGATTATTAAATTATTCCCCTTATTTTGATCTCTTAATATTTCTTTACTAATTTAAAAATACATTTCCTGAGAAAATAATATCTATGTTTCAGTATCTACATCCAAAGTTTCTTAAGTAATATCGCTCTGATAATGTTATTCTTATCTCCACCATTCGTTTAATATGTCATGTAATAACAAATTTTATTTAGAGAAAACAGCCTCCTATTGAACCTCTGTATTTTCAGATTTTGTCCTCGCCCAACATGACTAAAACTTCTGTTTTTCGGTGTTTGATTTTAGTTGTTATATATTTTTATCTAGATATCTTAAAATCGATGTTTTTCGGAGTTTTCGCTTTTAAGGAGGTATTTAAACTAAGATCATTTGTTTACGTTTATCTACGTCTCTTACATACTTAGGTTTTATGATAAATGAAAATATTCTCACGTCTTAGATGACATTTCGCCTCTAAAACTGAATAACTGAACGCAAAAAGCTGATTGCTGGTAGTACTTGTTTAAAGAAATGTGTGTAAAATGAAGGAGCCAATCGTTAGTAAGCTTTGCTGGTGCGACAGTTTCGATCCACACCCTCCCACGACGGATTTGGGCTTAAAAGGCATCAGTCAGGTGATGTAGCGAGTTATTAAGCCTAATACCTTCACTAGTTCCATTCCGGTGGTTTCAGCAACAAGTGGTTTCAACAGTGCGTTGATTGGGTGAGTCTATAATATCAAGCACAGTTTTATTTAAGAAATAGTGATATACGTTCTGCGACGTTTTTGCTGTTGCTTTTAAATATACATACGTATATATATATTGCTTTAGGAGCTATTACTTGTTTGATCGACAGTATTCTACGCTTCAAAGTGCTAAAACATGTACATTTTTTTTTAAAGAAATAAGTATCGTTAACTGAAAATAGTAATGAAAGATAATTTCAATTGTGGCTACAATTGTAACGACATTAATCAAATCGAAAGAGCTGGTGAAACATTCTATTTTCCAGGTGCGATTTTTAATAAGAGAACCTGAAAATATTTGCAGGAGATCTGAGAATAGTAAATTTACAAAATTTAATTGCTTAAATTACTCTATTTTCAACTTTGCAAGTCATTTATTGACAAATTTACGTAACATATAGTAAACAGTACATTTCTCTATAAAAAATAAAATATAACGAAGAAAAAAATTTATTCAAGACCACTGTTGTAAATAGGATATGGTTAACACAATGTTATTACAAGTAGATCGTTTTAAAGACAATACTGTTATAACTACATTATTCTTCAAAACAACGATAAAACTATAGTCTACTAGTTCAGCTATAATATGATCAATAACACTACGTGAGCTATATTATAATCAAAACCTAACACAGTTACTAGAATACAGTAAATATAACAATGTCACTGGTAAAATAGCCAACAGCAAATAATACTGATACCGGTAGAATATAGACAGGAATATAACACTAGCAGAGTAGTATTATAAATAATAAATCTGTTACAGCTAGCATTACAAACAACACAATAATATTGTAACAAGAATACATTTGATAAGCTACCGTTGTTATAAATAGAATATTACAAATAATCCACGTAACATATAATCATCAAAACGTTTTTAACGACCAGAACTTGGACTTCTGCAATAGTCAAAGAAGCAATTACCTACACTAGCAGACATACGTGTTGTAAGGACTGTTATTCAGCAGCGTTATGAAAATACAAAAAAGTGAGTGTGGCGGAAATGAGATACAAACAAAAAATAACAGTTTATGAATATTTACTTTAATTTTTAATACTTCACCCCAAATGTGCATTATAATAGAATTAAGTCCTTCAATTAGTTATTTGGTGTTGGCCTGTGACGAACGTTCTTACCAGCATTAAAAGGGGAGTTTGACTACCCTCTGGAAGTAATTCAAAAATCTAAGCCTGTCGGGTTCATTATCTTGATCAATTTTGATGATGATCGAACTAAAACTATGAAAGGTCAAAGCGAGCATATCGAGAGATAAAATAACTTGCACTATAGTAAAAACGTAAAGTTTCTGAAACCTCGAAATCCTGACTTGAGTATGGTGCATATTTAGTTTTACTGATTGTATAATTATCTGGACTGTTATTCTCGTCTTTATTATGTGTAATATTATTTTCACAACGTTTCGACCAGTGAATTATCCGGCTATCGTCAGGTGTTATATCAGACATTTTGTATGCGTCACGACTAGAAAGCTTTTTCTATACATTAAACGATCTAAGATTCCAAAGAAAGACTTTTGTTACTTTTATTTTATTGGGTGAAATCCGATATGTAGAGTCAATGAAATAATAAAAAACTCTACAGTTATTTGTCGTTTAATTTGAAAATACATTATATACTTCGTCAGAAGACCAACTGTGAACTTACCTATTATATACATAAAGAAAACATATAAGTTACTTTTCCTTTTTAAAATTCTACTTGCGGTGAAATCAAATTGAGGAAAGTTCATTTATCGAAAAATAATTTAATGATGAGGAAAAGATAATATAATTCTCTCCTTCCAGATCTAATTTAGATAAGATACTAGCCATGTTCTGAGCACCATATTTTACTAACTTTTAGTTTGAAAGTATTAACATAATTTACGAGAATTGCACTTTTTCAACTTGGATGTAAAACCTTGTGACGTCATGTGTGTATCGATGAAAGAACAATGTCACAGAAAAAGGAAAATAAAATATTTATTTTTTATTTTTAAAAAATTCTTTATGTAACAGGCTACTAAAACAGAGTATTTACACATCTGATGAAGTAACAATTATTAAAAGAAACGTGTTAGTTATTTGTTTTGTTATTATTTGAAGTTAAGCATAAAGCTACACAATGGGATATTTGTGCTCTGCAAACCACGAGTATCGAAACCCGGTTTCTAGCGTTGTAAGTCCACAGACATACCGCTGTGCCACTGGGGAGGGGGCAGTTATTTGTCTATAAATATGTTACCTGAACCCTGTAAGAAGATTTGTAAGGTAAGTGCAATAACAGAGAAATGTGATATTTGGCATAAAAGAAAAACAACGTGTGCTATACACATGCTCAAAGCCTACTCAACAGGTTCTATATTGATAAAAGAGTTAGCACAAAGGATCACAGATAAAGTGTAATAAACTTAAAATAAGATCCCAAACTCGAGCGCTTTCGAATAGTTGACTATTCTTCTTCTTTGTTCTCCTGAAGAAGAATAGTCAACAGGTTCTATAATATTACTTATAATCTAATCTTGGTTTTCTAATATATGATAATTTTCTCTATATATACTGTTTTGAATGATACTATTTTTTTCCATAAACATTCTTCTACAGGATGTAGACAGTAGAGTAGTACTCTTTCTTTGGTATACTGTAGCAAGTTAATATTGAAATATTCAGGATGTAGACAGTAGAGTAGTACTCTTTCTTTGGTATACTGTAGCAATTTAATATTAAAATATCCTTTCTACTTTTGGTATAATGAAGTGTTTAAGGGTTATTTCTACCTCAGTACAATGAATCGTTCAAAGGTATTTTTGTAGCTGTAAAACGGTGTTTCTGATTTCAGTTTTTGCATATATTAAAGATTTTTCCTTAACTGATGTTTAGGCCATGTAACATGATGAAACAAAGGTGAAAATGGCCGCCAATTGCCTTACACCGGTAGTAGAAGAAGATTAAAGTGATGAGGTGTAAAACGAAGATCACTCTATTTCTTCTCGTGATAATCAAGTAAAGTTATAAATAAAATATTTTAAACTCATGATATCCAAGAACTAGCCAGAGGTAAATTTCTCAAACTGGAGTTTCTTCTCTGTCGATCGCGAATAGCATGAAAAAAATTAAATTATTTATGATTGTTTGTTTTGTAATTAAGCACAAAGCTATACAATAGGCTATATGTGCTCTGCCCACCACGGGTATCGAAACCCGGATTCTAGCGTTGTAAGTCCGCAGACATACCGCTGTGCCACCGGGGGGGGGCAATTATTTATGCGAAATTAAACCAAAAATATCTTAAACTACAACTGATTGGTTGCTCTATATTTGGTTGAAGTAGCTTTAAACTACAACTGATTGGTTGCTCTATATTTGGTTGAAGTAGCTTTAAACTACAACTGATTGGTTGCTCTATATTTGGTTGAAGTAGCTTATGCTGCGATAATATCCTGAACCTTGCAGGAGTAGAGTTCTTACAAGGCATTGGAAATTACCTTATTTGATTGTAACCTGTAACGTGTCTCCAGTCGTTCACTGACACCAATGAGGATGCTTACATCTGAAGACAAAGCAGTTATTGAACTGACTGTCTGTTGTCTTTTGAGAATGCGATAATATCCTGAACCTTGCAGGAGTAGAGTTCTTACAAGGCATTGGAAATTACCTTATTTGATTGTAACCTGTAACGTGTCTCCAGTCGTTCACTGACACCAATGAGGATGCTTACATCTGAAGACAAAGCAGTTATTGAACTGACAGTCTGTTGTCTTTTGAGAATATCTTTTACATGATTAAAAGGAGTGAAGTCTGATGTTTGTTGCATTTTGTAAGCCTATCTGACTATCTTTTTTTTTCCTTTAGGCAGTCGCAAGTGATCGGTGGTCACATTTTTTTTACTAATGACAGATGTATTGCCTTTCAATTTCAATTTTTCATATGCCGATGACTATCCATAACATGACTATCTGTTTGATTAATGACTTTGATGTCAGAAATTTGAATGCTTAAAATGTGGACTTTCGAAATATTTTGAACATAGGGAAGATAACAGATGCTTAAAAGATTGTTGATTATATGTCTAGATTCAGAATAGACTTAAATAATACCCGTTTAACTGTTAATATAGCTTTTGCGCTCACTAAGGCTATGTAGTCTATAATTTCGTTAAACGTGAACAAAATGAAAATTTGTAAAAATAGTTAACATGCATTTTCCATTTTATCCATGTAAATATGATTTCAAGTTTTTCAAAAAAAAAGTGAAAACTTAAAAGTTCATTTTCAAACATTTAGTACGAGCTACAAGGCAGCATGTGGTGTGATTATCACTGATCCATCGTTGAGAAACAGATTTCATGAGTTTATTTCAAGTTTAACAAGACCAGTTTTAGCCTTACAATTGATCGTACAACTCATACTCACGTTTGTTGAGATCACCAGAATTGACTAAAACACCACTGGACCTACATTGTTCGTCAAAACGTTGGCTACTGATTTATCAAAGTATACCCTAATGATGCAGAAACGGTTTTGGGATTACGACTGAAAATATCGCTAAAAGCAAGGGTACCTTATATAAGTAAGAGGTTAGAACAGTATATGTAATTAGTTATGTTTATTACTAGGTTTATTGTTAGTTCTTATCTGTGCTAGTAGTTTGCTTTAATTAAAGTTAGTATTAATGACGGAGAGAGTCAATCTGGGTACTCATTATCACTACTTGTTACATACTTTTCTTTCAGACAAGTTGAATCAGCGAGACACCATTAGTATTATTTATACTTTCATTATAAAGATATTTTGCATTTTTAGCCTAAAATATGTATTTATGATTAACTTAAATTTTCTAAGCTGGCTGAATCTCGTGAGATATTATTGGAATTACGACCGAAAACATCGTTAACAGAGAGAGTACCAAACTGATGAAACAATGCATTATAATCCTTATATGTAGAAACATAAGAATAATATATTTAATTC